TGAAAATATGATTGTTTGAACTAAACATACTAAGTTTACAGACCAGGTTACTAAACATCACTGTAGACACTGAATGACTATGGCAATACATAAATTACGCAGATGTTCCCTTGCTTAACCACTGATCTCACCTGATTTAGAATTAGTCAAGTCTCCCACCTACAAGTGACCAGAAGCCAGATTTCAGCCTGGCATGGCTCTGGCTGACCTTGTTTTGTACTTCTCTCTCTTACTCCTGCTCCCAGCAACTCTTGCATCCCATGATTGTCTCCGCCAGTATTTACCTTCTCAAGTAGTTCTGTCTTTAAACATATACCCTTGCAGTCACTGTGTATTTACTTACAGCTTTTTTCTGCAGTTCCTATCTTTCTATCTCATCTCTGACCATGGTCCTCTGTCACAATGAATGTTCTAGTCATACTAAATGTCCTCAGAGATCTTCAAACACACAGTATGGTTTCATGTTTCTGTGCCTTGACACATGCTCTCCTTCTTCCAGGAATGTCATTCCAGGTCCTTTTCTGCCTAGGAAACTTCTTTTCACCTTTCAAACCTCTGCTCAAGCATTGTCCCTTCTGATGAAATTTCCTTGACCCCCAGGGCCTACCTTATACCTTTGGCACACCAGGACAGAGTTAATTACTCTCTTTTCTGGATTATTGTTGGAACTTTTACTTGTTTCCACTTCTGAACCATTCTTAAGGGTAATTATTTTTTTATGCATGCATCTTTCCAAGCAAAAGGTGAGCTCCTTGAAGGCAGACTCTACTTTTTACCCTCAACGCCTATCCATAGCACCTAGACTGTAATAGATTTTAATAAATATTTCAACAAATAAACTGAGGAACTGAGAAACCTCATGCCTGGATACTGCAATGCCCTGCTAAGTGAGAGACACCTCTGGTTCTAACCTATAAAACTACAGTCTTAGTCAAGGCCCTCACTTGGCATACTCCATTCATCTATGGGTGGCTCCATTCTTTATGTGCTAGACTAACTGCTGGGCTACATCAATCTTTGCTTTTTCTGAGGATCTTTGCCTCTGCTTCTCCAAGGGTCACTTGCTTATGGCCACTCTCTAGTCCTTAGGTCTTCTCAATCCTGAAGAGATCATTCTGGTTCTATGGAGAGGCCCGGCAGCATTGGTGGCTCAGAGAAGAGGTTAAGGGGCCAAACAGACTAGCCAACACAAGAATTAAATGAGAAAATGTACGTAGTATACTTTCCACAGGACCTGGCACATAGTAAGTGCTCAAGAAACTACTTGTGGTTACTGTTAGTGCTACTCTGGCTGCAAGGTCAGTGCGCTTTCTGGTTATACCTGATGCCATCTTAGCCTCTCTGAGCAAGAGCCACAGGGATCCGACAGGCTCACCGGTGTGCTCTAGTAATGTGCGCTTTCTGGTCTGCTCAGTCTCACAGCTCTATTTCTCCTGACACCAGGACTCAATGATCCAGTCTCTTTTCATCAGGCTAAATTAGGCTGTTTAACCTATGCCCAGAACTGGAACAAGAAAAAATATCTCTAAGCAAAGTCCTTTTGAGAAAACTGTCCATCTAGGAACCACAGATCCCTTTGCATAAGGTCAGTTTCAAAGACTTTTCTTTTTCCATCTTATCTAATGAGCCGAGACAAAATGGCCACGCTAATGGAAACTGTTTTGCATTCCAACTGCTGCTGTTCTAGCATAAAATACACGATTTCATAAAGGCTCAAAAATGTTTAAAATCTTGAGCTCACTACTATTCAGGTCGCTGCTGCCTTTCCTCAGCTTTGCTTTCATCCCTGTCACTGGTCCAAGGTGTCAGAGGATCTGATGCTCCCTGTCCCCATGGCGGCCTCTAATCACTATTGAGATTGCTGACACCATTCTCTTCCTTCTCTTGCTTTTTTCCCCCCATCCTCTCAGGTCTCTTGTCAGATTTCCCACTCTTCTCGAGCATTCCTGCCAGAAGGCTGGCCTCCTAGACAACATTGCCAGCCAATCACAGTTCTTGTCCTTCAAAGAGACAAACTCAGTAATCATCACAGGAGAGATAAAATCTTCGGTTGATTCTTCCTGGCTGCTTGTTTTTGCTCAGTGCCCAAGGCTTGAGGTTTCTGAAAGGCTGAATATGATCACTCAACTCCTTGCACTGTAGTAAAATTCGGTTGTACAGTTTGGTTGAGTGTGTGCAGCCCACCAGTCAGTGAATTAGGCATGGCTTAGAAAAGCAGAGAAGTGTGAGCCTTAGGGCAAGGTCTTAGATGGGAAACTCTCTCTCCCCTCCACCCCATGGGGTGGTAAGGTGAACCAAAAGGAAATACTCAGTCCTTCTGGGGCTGGGGCCCAATACTTTCAAAAAGCAGCTACAGTTCTTGGTGGGCCCTCAGAGGAACATTTCTCCCATTCTGTGCATATGGCATATGGAGCATCACGGATCCAGGGTTGGATGGGGAGCATTTAACCAAGTTTTACTGGGGGATCTAAATTAGCTTTTGGGGTCCAAATGACTCATTTGACAATTGAGTCTTTGATATCTCTCCCCTTCCATACAGGAAGCCATCTCCCCTGGGGGGCTAAACTTGTACAGGTGCTAATTTACAATTTAATTCTTTTAAATATGAATTCTTTGCAACAGGAAACTAGATCAAGTTTTAGAAATCATTGAATCTTAACTATCAAATGAAACTGTAGCTACAAGAATAAATTATTTCTCTGCGTCTGGACTAAGAACTTACTTCTGATGAATGAAGGACAGAACTTCAACTTAAAAGTTCACTCAGGTTGCTGTTGTTTTGATTATCACTAATGTAAAATAAAGTGAATGCTGAACATCCACTTTATATTGTGTTGGCTTAAAAAGAGAAACAAAACCCATGGGCCCTCCCCTTAAAAAACTGAAAATCCTGATGGATGAAGAAGATAAAGTTCAAAAATTACTAAACAATTTAAAACCGGGTATGTGCACATTTTATGAACCTAAATATTGCTAAATAATAAAGCCTAAATTGTGTGGGTCCTTAAAATATGTGCATTGGATAATCACTATTAATGGCACATGAAATACATGAATTTTATCATTCTTAATATATTTGCTTAGATGACTTGTAACTTAAGAGCTCTTTAGAAAACAATGCTGTACACTGTTAGGATTCAATCTAAGGTATACATTTTGTCGTAAGAACTGGGCAGAGAGGATTTAGTAGGATTAAGCTTGGCTTTCAAAGTCAAGTCTGAAAATAACAAAGGAAAAGATCTTCCTACTGTAACAAGTCAATTCAGATGCCATTAAGATGTCTTCATTTACCCAGCTTGTCCAGGACTCAGCTTCTGAAGTTATTATTTATGAAAAAGGTATGTGAACTATTGACCAAGCATAATAAAGTTACCTCCACACTCTTGCTATACCCAAGGACAAAGCTAACAACTCACAGTCGGGCATGTGCTTTGACTGATAAACCAAAACCATCAAAAACCAACATACAATTTGCCTTTTTCTTATAGTCATTAGCTCAATCACTTAATGAACTTAATTAACTCAACAAAATTCTCAGTGGGAGAGGTACAGAGAGGTCAACAGCAAATGACTGCTCCTCAATCCCTTCAAAGTTTCACCATGAAAGATTGTCATCACTCTTTTAAAGGGCATTTCTTTAAAAAGTCCTGCCTTTGAGGTATAGAACATAATACTCACCTGTAATTGTATTTGCGAAGTTAAAGCCACACTTCAACAAGGGTACTCCTGACAATTGCTAATCTAAAAGTTGGCTTTAGAAGAGGACAGGGAGGGGCTGATAATGTCCATCAACAATGGATAAATTGTGATATATTCATATGATAGAATGTTCCTTGGTAATAGACTATGAATACGCTCAACAACATAATCTCAAAAAACTGAACGAGTACATATTATATGATTTCATTTATGTGAATTTCTAGAATAAGCAACACTACTAACCTACGGTGGTAGAAGTGAGAACAATAGTTACATGTTGAAGGATGAACTGGAAAGGGGCAGAGGGAATTTTCCGTTACAGAAAAGTTGTGTATCTTTATTGGGGTTGTGGTCACCAAATCCCAAACTATATATTTAAAATCTGTGCATTTTATTGAATGTAAATTATATGTTTTTTTTTAAAGTACTAATTATCTACTGGATTCTAAAGTTAAGTATAACTACTGTCATAAAACATCCAATAAATCTTACTATTATTAAAAACCAACAGGCCATTCAGAAAGCAGATATGAAGCTTTAATTCACTGTGGGCATTTCTGTGACCAATAATATAAACTTTTCACATGTCTTCGTACAGATACATCTTTTATAAGACACAGGTTTTTTACCAAGTACTGTGAAACATACCACCATTCCACTTAGTTAAGGGCGTATTATAAATATCATGAGCCACTGATTAAATATAAATACAGAGGTTGATGCACGTTAGAGAGGTTCCATAATAAAAAAAAGTTTAAGGCTAAATACCATGAAAGTTTACATGTGTGCTCCACTTTAAGTCTAAATATCACATTACAGTGACAACCAATTACAATAAAATCACAGCTGCTTTTAGATGATAGTAAAAATTTCTAACATCCAATTATTTTTATTTCCACAATGTCAACTCCACACTGTGTTTTCATTTCTAGAGAGTAGACCAGCTTTTGGACTGCAGACCAAGTTTCTTGTGCAATAATAATTACTATTTTGATTGTGACCACTGGAAACTGAATTTATATATACTGTACTAAAAAGAGATGAGACTATTAAGCATATAATAATATGGAACTCTTCAGTGGCGGTGTTCAAGAGAAATTAAAATAGTAGCCTGAAAATGAGTTTTAATTGCTACAGCAGTCTACATATACTTCAATTAAAAGATGACGTCTGTCAAAACATTTAGAAATAAATATATACTTCCCCCTTCCAAAATGCTGCCTGGAAGAAAAGTTCCAAGCTGAATTAAGGGGAAAAGTGGGGGGGGGGACAACTCAGAAAACAAATATTATATACTGCTCTGAGCGACAAGCTGCCTGAATCTGTTTTTCAGCGGTAACAAGTTTTACCGTCAGTTCTACATTCCTTTAGTGTCCACAGTCCAGAAGAAGTCCTTGAACAGCTAGTTCATATTCTACAGAAATTGGAAAGACTCCTAAAACCCCTCAACTACTTGTACAAGGGAAAGCTGATCATGTGTTGTCTTAAAATCTATGTGAATATCAAACATAGTCATAGCCATTCTCTTAACAGTGAGGCTAGAGTAAGTGATGAAAATATATGCACAGCTGTACACAGATCACCATTAAACACAGGACAAATGCCATTTGATGCATATCAAATAAGCTCCCAAAAAGCCAATTTGAATATATTTATTTTCATTTACTTTGATACAGCATTAGAAGGGACTGCATATAATTACAGAGACTGCTGCAAACAACACTTGATGCTACTAAGGGATCTATTAAGCATCAGGCATGCACAACAGTTACCTTTTAAAACTTCTTGTGTATGTATCTTAAGATTTCTATTTATAAGCTACAATATGTTTAAAGCATTTAGTCATTTTTAAACCAAATATTTTAACTACTTAAACGTAGACCTATGTCTACATGGGGAAAAACAAAAACTCCCTCCCCGGCCTCAACACCCAAAAGTAATATTAAACCTTACTCCCCAATTTGATATTTAAACTTATTTTATATATGTCAGCCTTGAAATTCCAAAAGTGGGGAACATTCTTATCACTACTGAATGGGGAGTATGATTTCCTGGCAGCAGTTTACCCACCACACACAGCATGTCAAACCTTCGGGGATTACAAGATAAGCCTGTGTTGGTGGCTACAAATGACAAGAACTGAACAGGCTCTTCTTTTATCTTTTTATTTCACACTAAATGAAATGATTTCATTACTACAAACGAAAAAAATCTTTTTTTAACATCAATATAAGAGTGGACGAAACCAAAAACACTGTCATCTTCAAGTGTGTGGCAAAGCAGAAAATATCTCGATTATGTTAGGTAACCAGGGGTGGGGAAGGGAGCAGAGTTTGTTTTTCCATTTAAGAAGCATTCCAGTCAAATAATCACAAACACAAATTCAGATTGCTTGGTTCTCAGTCATTTATGGCTTAAAGTACGGGGTTTGAAAACCACTTCAGGCTAAAATAAATTTTTATGAATAATGCACAGATTGTCTATCTAGGAAATCATGCAGTAAATAAACATTCTCATGTACATTGGAATTTTAGTGACAAAAAGGGTCTGCAGGTTGAACAGTAATGTTTCTTCCCTTTTACCAAGAGAATACGCCCAGCAAGATCCTGGCATTGGGCCCATTCAAGATCCTACTTGCCAGGTCATCTTGATTTTCTCAGATGGATAAAAGAAGCCAATGTCACAAGACATTTGCAACGAGGAACTGACTTGCCGCGAGTGCAGGTGCCGTGAGGTCCGAGCTAGGCAGAAGGAGACTCCCCTGATCCTGCCACCCTGCTGCAAAGTCAGTTTGGAGTACTTGACCAGCTAGAGTTATCAAATGGGTAAATGCTTAGAATGACCCACTGGAAATGTTTATTATCTTAGTATCTTTTACAATTCTATCTGCTCTTGAAATCTATTTCATTTGGGAATGGCCAGGGTAAGATCCACCCACTATTCTTGGTTTTGATATGCCCCTACAACATGAGAATTGAACTGAACCACAATGATTGTAATGTCGTCTCTGTACATCCGAGCAAGCTCCTCAGGAAGACTAAGCATTTTGGAGAGGCGCTCGTGATCAACAGTGCCAAACTCGTTGTTGCCCACTGCGTGACGAATGAGATGGGTTGCTGCGTTCTGGTCCTCGAATACTGAGGACATCTTGGCTCTCCTTTCTGTTAAAAGGCCATGCATCTGTCCTAGAGTCACCTTGTAGCCGCCAACAGCTATTGGCTGTTGGTGATGCATGCCCGTCAGGTACTCACCCACAATCCTAACCACATCCTGCCTATGCATCGTCTCCCACAGCCCATCAGTAGCCAACACTAGAAACTTATCCTGTGGCCTTAATCGGTGGTAAGTTACCTCTGGCTCAGCAGTGAGATAAGGAGGCGTGTAATAATTAGGAGGGATAAACTTGGTATATTCATTGTCATTCAACTGGTCTGGGCCTGATTCTATCACTCTCTTTTGAAGGTCAATGCTCCATTTGAACTTTACGTCTCCAAAAGCCCTAAAAGGCATCAGCAAGCCAAGCAGCCGATCCTGTTTCACCACACTCTTGGCCTCATTCTTTGGGTGTTCCAATTTCAGCCGTTCCAGTTCTCTCTCATTCTGAGCATTGTGGTCATTAGAGAGAGTGACTGCTGACCAAGAGCCATCCTCTTCCTGCACACCCAGCATGGCTCTGCTATCGCCGGTATTGGCCACATGAAGGTCAACACCATCTACGTGGGCCACACAAGCGGTGGCCCCAGAAAATGCCACTCGAAGCACCAGGTAGTTGAGGAAAGAATTGGGATCACCAACTTGAGCCTCCAAAGAGATGTCATTATCAAGCCTCTTAAAAGCGTTAATTAAAGCCTCTTTGACATCGATATCAGTAGACTCCCCGGTGTTGAGGTCTATAAGTTCTTGCCAGTAAGTCCTCAAGCTGTTGAAATACAATTTGGATGCCTCCTTGCTGAAGTAATCATTGGGGTGCTTGTGCCACTGGAGAATGGGCAGCAGCGCCCGACCGCTCTCTACTGCATTTTCAATCTCTAGCAAAGTCTCATGGGGTAACAGAGAGACGGCAATATAGTAAAAGAGTCTCTCACTGACCGCCTGGGAACAAGCACAGCCTGCATGGCCGTCGAAAACCCCCAAAAGCATCCCTCTGGTCTGCAAGCAGGTGGCTGCACTTCTCCGGTCCTCGATAGGGGCATTTGCAGGCAGCTGATTGCTGTCAAACCCAAGGACAGAGCTGACGTTTTTGCCATCGAATTCTGGCACTTTGAAACTGTATTCGTTAGCTTTCAGGATGCTGTTGACCTGTGGAGGGGTGAGGTAAAATTTCTGCGGCGTGGAAGCGTATCTCCTTCCTTGCGTGTACTGCCACCAGCTCTCCTTGGGCCGGCAGAAGGTAGCGTACGCCGGGTGCGGCGCGTATCTCAGGCGGCTCTGCGCCAGGTACGGGGACGAGCAGCACAGATGTCTGTGGTGGCAGTAACACGCAGTGCCATAGATTCTGCTCAGTTCGCAGTTCCGGATCAGAGGGAAAAACAGTTGGGTCGGGGCTGGCATGGCATCAGAGAACAGCGGCAGGCTGGAGCTCCTGATGGGGATTCCTAGACAGCAATTAACAGACACACACAAAGGGAGCAGTTACATTTCACATCACTTCATCTAGCCTCGCTTTTATAACAAATATTCAGCAGGTGAATCTACATGCTAAGCCCTGTGCTCGGAAGCACTGTATTTTCTACGCCTACCATGTACTATTTCTACAGGGTGTATTCTGCTAAGCACAGTTCTCCGTCACTCATGGAACCAGGACTGGAGCCTAGCTTTCCCTCTTCTCTTTTCCTCATATTTCTTTGTGCCGCACAGACTGTACAGAACGTACAAGAGATGTGGCTGGGAAAAGCCGAGGAGATGAAGATTATATAACATTATGCAGTGGCAGTCTACCTGGCCAATCACCCTCCTCCCTCTCTAGCCTCAAGAAGGCCCTGGATCTCCCATACTGCACAGGGACTCCTCCCAGTAATGAAAATCCCGTTTCTAGACTTGTAGTCAATTGTTAACATTTGATTACACATGGCTATCACCAAAAAGGTGTCAGAATGCATCCCTTACAGATATGTGTGTGTGTGTGTATTCATGAATTATTTTGTAAGTTATATACATATACCACTGTGTTAATATAATGTTCATTGTAACATATAGAAAAAATTTTACATAATGAATAAAAATAGGAATTCCGGTATTCCCTTCCTGCACCCCAGTGGACGGTCTTGCAAACTACGTTTCTCTAGACCACTGCGCCAATTTGGTGAGCTTAGGAACATAGGTCTGCCGCCAACCTGCCTAATAACCCTAGAAATATCAGCTTAACTCTTTGGGCCTCACTTCCCTAGGTTGTAAGTGAACACACAGAAGCAGATGCTATTGAAGGCCTCTTCTGGGATTCTATGTTTTTATAAGTGTTAGCTGAAGTGAGGCTTTGAAATCAAATGCTGGTTTCAGTTTTTCATTGTTTAATTTACTGTATCTTTTGTGATTAAAAAAAGGTTTAAGTATACTAATAGCTCTAAGACTTTGTTAGTAATGTAAATGCTCTCAGTTCTGGAATTTAATTTACTTACTAGCATTTTCTCCTGCTAATCAGCCATGAGGGAAAGCTATAGAAATACTATTTTCATCCATTCTGGATCCCAAGTAAAATTCAATCCCTAGAAAAATATTTCCTCTTACATTAAAAAAAAAAAAGTACCCATTTGCCTTCAGAAAGCAATAAAGAATAGTGAAATAATAGTCTAAGGTTTGTATAAAAAAAGGTACACATATTAATCAAGAATAAAAACTGTAATACTATATGACACTGAAAATATTTTGCCAAACATTTATCTAGAAAATTTTCTGAATGTGTATCATTAATCCAGATAATTCATGCAAGAAAAAAAACCTCTCTTCCTTCTAACATATATTTCCCCTGAATTCTTGAAGCATTGCTTCAAAAAATTCATTTGGCCTATAACTTGAAAAAGACTTTAGAAATACTTTTATTATTTCTTTTTTAAGGTGGCTCCATGCCCGGCATGGAGCCCAACATGGGGCTTGAACTCAGAACCCAGAGACCAAGACCTGAGCTGAGATCAAGAGTCGGACACCTAACTGAACGAGCCACCCAGGCAACCCAGAAACACTTTAAATAAGGAAACACAAGCAGTAAACAAAAAATAATGCCGAAAACCATCTGAGTCTCAATATCAACAATTCCTTCTTAAGTTTGAACCCATTACAGGTAAAAAAAAAAAATGTACAAATACCACAGAGATTGTTAGCTATAAGTTACATTACTTTCAGGTACCCTCCCTCGACAACTACTTTCAGGTACTCTCCTTCGACAAGAAATTGGAGAAGTGAAAGTGGGATGTGGGAGAGCAGAGAAAATAACACTGAATAATAACTGATTCTTGTTTGCTTCAGTAATAAGGACTGCATAAACCAGGCATACAGAACCCCTTTTGCAAGTGATAGAAAGTACCATTATTTTAAATGTGCTATTTAAGGAGGGATTTGTTTAAGAAACAAGATAAGCACAGGCAACAGAAGGTAATGATTAGAATTTTGGAAATAAGATCAATAACTAAATAAGCATTCTGAAATACAATAATAAAAAACAGAAATTCCAGAAGAAAAGGAATCTATCAAGACTAACCACTTAAATAACTGCACTTCAAACTAAATACCTGAAAGTCATCCAAAGGTTAAGGGTACATGACTGAGCCAGGGGATGTGCTCAAATGCTGGGCCACATGACACTGGCTTCCAGACATAAACCATATCTCGTTAGATTTGCATGCAGAAAGCACATTAATTCATTTCATGCTTTGTATAAAGATTTTCTATTATTAAAAATATAAACAGATGCCCATCTTAAGAAAAATTTTCTCTATAACTTTAGGTAAGTCTGCATTTGTGCTATTTTAAAGTTTAAGACTTTTACAGGAAGAAGAAATGTTTCTGCATGGAATGTAGACTGAATCAAAGTACTACTTTGTGTGTGTGCATATGTGTATATGTGTTTGCAAGGAGGGTTTGATAGATGGCGTAATAGCGTTTGGTTATGTGATGTCTAATCAAGGAATAACAAGTCCAAGAAACCTGCACTTTCCTTAAATACTTTGTTTTGACAATTTTTCTGGTTCTGTAGTTGATTGCAAAATGAATGAAATATTTTGGCAAAAGTACTGATTCATGCAGCAGATGCTCTGAATAATACGTAAATTCAAACAGCAAGCACTCAAATACTCAGGTAATACATTTTTCCTGCAAGGCAAAAGTTCTCGAGATTAAAAAAAAAAAAGCAGAGTGGAATTTATCAACTCTATCTTTCAGTTATTCAGGAGCTTAGCATATGAACTGAGACTGTATCCCAATTCCCCAACTCCCAAAATGCCTTCAAAAGACAAATTCTTAGAGAATATGGAATTCTCTAAGAGAAATGAAAACCCTGCTCTGTGATTAATAAGTGTTCTATCACTCCCAGTACACGATATATTCTCTCCATCAGATCAGATAGCCTTAGAAGTCAGAGTACTTCCAAATGCTTTTTTAAACCGTAAGTGAGGATTCAAAAACTCGAAGTATCTTTCTGAATATCCTGTGATTCAACAACAAAACCCCACGAAATCAAAACTTTTGCCGACAAACTCGCTAAATTAATGAAGTAGAAAGCTCTTGATTAGACAATTAAGAACAACAAGGTACAGTGTTGGTAAACTGGAGCAGTGTCATATTTTCAAGTGATTTCTGACCACAATTTCACTGAGAAGTTCCCATCCCATGATCCAGACTCAGTCACCTTATATGCAGCATCTTAGTCCTGGGCCAATTTGGCCCATTTTACCAATGACTAATAAGAAAAGATGCATTGCAATCGCAACAGGAAAGAGACCCATCCATTCTTACTGATGTGCTGGGCAGAGCCTGTGCCAAGAAAGGGTTCCACTTTATTCAATAAACTCACGGACCATATTAATTAGAAAATGCTGTTAATACTGCACCGACTCTGGAGCTCTTCAGCTTTCAAAGCTTTTGGTGTAAACGGGGGAAAAAAAAAAAAACTATACTAGTCATTAAATGTGTCAGAACCTCAGTTTACGTAATCCAATTGCATTAAACATCCTGTATAGACTTTTCAGTCTCTCACCGTTTTCTGGAAATGCCTAGCCATTTCACAGCTCCCGTCATCTCTACAAGAATGAAAAAAGCGATTTCCCTCAGAAGACCCGAAGCCCCAAGCCAGCACTTGTTTGATTCGTTTCCTTTGTCCCTACCTGAAAATTGCACTCACTAAGGTATCAAAGCTATCCGGGTCCAGGACCCCTTTGTCCCCTTTTTCTACCTACCTCACCCCTTAATTCCACCGCGACCCACCTCAAACCATCCACACACAAGATCAGTCACCATCCTTCCTGGGTACTCAACGCCGGTAGTTAAGTGAATACCTACCAATTCGTCTGGGCCCGGGACACACACACATTCTCCTGTCATCACAACACGGAGCCGACAACATCCACAACCCGCGCGGACAGCAGCAGCGACAGCAGCACCGGCCCATTGAAAGCAAGGCAGAGATGCTCATTAGAGGAGGCGGGGGAGGCGGGCACGGAGGAGGGGCGAGCTCTCGCTCCTGCCCCGGGAATGGGGCTGGGAGGGGGGGAAAGGATGGAGCAGGGAGAAAGGGGTGGGGAGAAGAAGGAAACCAAACAAACAAACCCACCCCGCAGGACAGTCAGGGACGCCACCCGAGGCGGCGGGGACCCAGAAGCGAGTAGAGGTGCGCCCCGGGACCGGCCCCTCCATCCAGCCCCGGCGCGGAGCCCACTGGCCCGCGGCATCCTCCACCCGCTGCGCACCCCGCCCAGCCCACGCTGCGCCGGCTTCGGTCCAGAAGCCTAAGGCAGGGGTCGGCCGCACGGCAGGCTGCCATAGGGTCACCCCGGACCCCGCGGTGCGTACGGGGCACCCTCAGGCAGAGACGCCACGCCGCCGGCGCCACACCTCCCCAGAGCTAGCTCTCCCGCAGGTCCCCACGGCGCCCCCGGCGCTGACAGCGGCCGCGGCCGGCCCGCCCCCCACCCCGAGCCCGCGGCTGCCCCTCGGCGCCGCCACGCCCGCCCGCAACCCCGACGCCCCCGCGCGCACCTAGCGCTCCGGGGCTCGTCCCTCCCCCGCCCCGGCCGCCGCCGGCCCGCCCTTCGCACGCCCGCGTCCGCCGCTCCCCACGCGCACCGGGCAACCCCCTCACAACTTTGGGCGGGTAGCGGAGGATTCCGGACCCGGCGGCTGGGGGCCGGGAGCAGGGAATACGAACCGGGCACGCAGGGGAGGAGCCGCTTCTTCCCGACGAGGAGGCGGCCACCTCAGCGGCTGCAGCACCACCTGGCACTCCTTTCAGACCGCCCGGCTTAACTCCCCGGAGTGCGGCCCCAGGCCCCCAGCGGGCCCACTCCCTGCCCGGCCGGGCCGCCACCCTGCCCCGCCCGAACGTCCGGGCCCGAGCACTTCCCGCCTCCGGATTGGCTGCGCAAGGGCGAGTGGGCGGAGAGGAGGCGAGCTGGCCCGGCCCGAGGCGGGGAGGGGGGGCGGAAGAGCAGCGCGCTCTGAGCCAGCTTTGTGACGTCATGGGGGTCAGACAATCCCTTCCATTCCGAGCGAGCCGCTCATTGGCTCCACGGGCCCGCCTCACGTGACCGCGCCCGGTAGCAGGGTGGAAGGTGGGGCTTCGTGGCGCTGGGGACCTGCGACCGGCTAGGAGGGGCGGTGTTGAAGCGGCTGGCGACGGGCGGGGTAGAGAAGAAGTTTTTGGGCCCGCCCCAGCATCCCCACAAGCTGGGGTCCCCGTGGACCGGCTGCTCCCAGCCGGACGGGCTTCCGCGAATCCTTGGCACCTGGGCGGGGGGACCGGCCATGTGCCAGGTGGCCAGGCGGCTAGCGCCTCCCTGCGCCTTCCTAGTGGGCCGAGGCTTCATAGGATAGGCTGCGGGGACGGCTCTCAGCCCAGCAGGGAAAGGAATTCCCAGCGTTTCGCCCCAGCCTAGAATATAAAGCACGACAGTCCCAAAGTATCTGTTGCCCCATTCATTTGCAGATTTTAGAAACGTTAACCCAGATAATGTTTTCTATCATTTTCTGGACACCTCGCGGGTCCCAGGGAGAGAAAGCCGGTCTAAACAGCAAGAGGAAGTTGTGAGAAGGGAATTCTTTTCCCTGTAGAGTGGGTGTGTGCTCTGAAGGGCTTTGAAATCACTATTGTTCGTTTTCCCTGGTTTCAAGGAAAAGAGAATGCAGCCTATAGAAGTGGGAAGAGCACTGGACTTGAAGTCAGAGGACCATCATCTCAAGTTATTTCTGTTCCATAGGACTCTGTTTCTGCGAAGTAAGTTTAGGCTTTGGGTGGCATTGGCGTTCTGTGATTAAGCAGAAGACATCCTGAGGGCTTCTTCATTTGTCTCCATCCCCACAAAGGCGCTCTTTATGGGAACTGAGTCATTGATAGTGGCTTCTAGAAGCTTCCTTGGAGATGACAGCAAGTTGATCATTGCACTTACCCTGCCTAGTGTTAAAGTTTACTTTGATTTATTAGGCATATCTGCTTACTAGCCAACAAAGTTCATAAAGTGATGTGGGCTGGATATAAAAACTACCATGTTAATAGCATTGTGGAGTTTTATTTTTATTAATCTTGCATTATTTGATTTGTATGTAATAAAGAAAAAACTTTATATACACAAAACACTGCGAAGAACAAGTTCTTCATAAGTCCCGGGTGTTTTCAGCTGCCTTCTCTATTCTCTAAATAAATTAGAGGAGAGCTTTTTTTGTTCAGCTCCAACCTGCCCACAAAATTCTTATAGCTGCTCTAAGTGGCCTTCATCCCCATTTAGATGGTCCATCTGCCTTATCGTCCCCCTTTCTTTTTACTTCTCAAATGAGATTCTCATAATTTTGTAAGTATTCTTCATCGTCCTTTTCCCTATTAGTATATGATTTATTTGGTTTTTTCTTGGTTCATAGAAACAGTAGACTGTGGTTTAGCATAGTGAGTAAGAGCAGAACTGGAGGCAGGCTGCCTGGGTTCCAGTCTCAGCTCTGCCGCTTACTGTGTGGTCTTGGGCAACCTCGTTCTGGCTCAGCTCTCTCAATGTGTAAGATAGGAATAAAAATAGTAGTAACACAGGGTTGGATTACGTAGGTCAATATAAATATATATTGTGCTAAAGAAAGTACATAGCAGGTAGTAAGGGCTATATAAATATTAGCTGTTACTGGGGCAAGTGGCTGGCTCAGTCTGTAGAGCATGTGACTGTTGATCTTGGGGTTGTGAGTTCGAGCCCCAAGTTGAGTGTAGAGATTACTTAAAAATAAAATCTTAGAAAGTATTGGCTATTAATATTTTTGACATGTGCCCAGATAAGTGTGCCTCTTTTAGATTTAGGACTCCTAAAGAGTAGGAGATCTAGATTTTTAAGCGCAATGTGTTCTTAGTTCTTAGTTAGATACTAAGAAGTTACTGATAGACTGGAAAGTCTTAGAACCTTAGGATATCAGTTTAATATCCGTGAGGAGTGTCACTACCTCTTAGCCTCCTTTGCAGACATGGTGACCAGTTAACTGAAGGTAACTGTCCTGTAACTGGTAACTGACCAGTCCTCGATGCCAGGACCCTGGTAAGAGTAGATCTTTACAAGTTTCTGCCTGAGGTCTCAGAAGTGAAGTTTATACTAGGCTTGTCTGTTGTCTATAAACTTTTTCCCAGTAACTGCAAAAGTAGAGTAATGACACTCCAGAATATATACATCCATATCAATGACCTCTTCAAGTTGTTACCTTGGTTATATATACTTTTATTCCACACCAACATTGCCATTATTCAGAGCACTTTTAAAATTACCTTTTTAAATTGTTTTTGTCTGCACAGGAAATTCCAGCGTGTTTTACTATAACCAGCACCTTGGTTTTTATACCAAAATAGCATTGATTTCCCCCATCTTACTATTCTTAGTTCTAAATGACCTGGCTGTATCTGAAAATAACACGCATTCTCAAAAAACTAGTATTTGCCACCACTAAGTATAGTCAAAAGAATTTGTCATGAGTCTTGAAGGCAATGTCAGGGTATTTCTGGAATCAGAATAAAGGCTCCCCAAAGTAATGGCCATGAAATTCATTTAGAGGTGCAAGTTTGGTTTGCTTGCTGCAAAGTTGTAGGACTCAGTGACATGTATATTATAAATAAAGTCATAGTCTTGCAGAGGAACCAGCTACCTGTACCACTGAGGGAGATTCTTTAGTATCTCAATCTTGTCTCCTCTCTGCCTTGGCTTTCATCCTGTCTCTAGAGCTCCGTTTAGCCACTCAGTAGACTTGCTACAAAGGTGCTGTTTGTTATCACATGGTCGTCTGGCCAGGCAAGGGCAGCTCTGACCCCACAGACTGTTTTAGCCACCAGAACACCTGTTGACACTTGGACATTGGAAGGCATAGAAACGAAGCTCTGTGACAACCCAGGACTGTTGTAAAGAAGGGCTGGCAAAGGGAGAGGAAGGGGTTTCAAAAACAGTCTGGTACCAAAAAAAAAGGGCTGTGCAAAAAGACCTATTTTGTCAACACACATGCTTTCTGTGACACCAGTAATGTAAAGACAGTTCTTGAATGAGACCCTTGCCAGTCGTTTTGTTACCCTAAAATAACCCTGGAAATGAGCGTGTGCTGCACCAGATTGACCTGTTGTTCTTGTGGATGGATGATCAAACCCTTGGGGCTAATGGAGGTTAGCTGTGACAACATGGAGATGGTCCAGCAGAGTCTTGGTGGTACCAGCCAGGGAGCTTAAAATAGACCTGCCTGTAGGTCTGAGATACTGTGGGCCCCCTGGCTAGTGATTTACCTTTGTCTTTGCCAAAATCAACAATCAGAGGGAAGAGAGGCGGGGTCTACCACACTCCTCTTTAAGTCCTACTTCCCTCCAGATCTTTTTTTTTCCCCCCTCCAGATCTTGAATAGGAAATCAGCAAGTATTTACTGAGTACTTAAGCAATAGGTATCTCTTTTATTACCATCCCAGGGTTGCTGCTTTGAAATTATTTGGAGTTATGTAGTGAGATCAACAAATCACCTATAAGAAAGACACAGAAGGTGTAGCTCATGTCATGTGGACTAGGGGCTGTTAAAGGTGCTTTCACATTTATCTCATTTAATATTTTAAAAGTAATCTGTTGTCATCAGAATTCATTAGGCAATAGTATGTTTGAGGGGAAAAAAAAATAAAGCTTCCATTCTCTTGCAAAACTAGGGACAAAAGTCTCCTGACCAGTAGGCAGGAAGTTTCTGTGCATTAATTTAACATGACAAAGAATATGAAAAGTTTGTATCTGGGGTTGCTTAATTAGAGGTTCAGGTGCTTTAGCAAGAAGGCTGCAGGTCTGGGGACCTGAGTGGCACATCTTTCAACAACTCCTGTTAGTGGTGAGGGTGTCTTAGAATACTAAGGATGACATGGGTGTGGGGGATTGGTATTGTCTAGCCATCAGACATCTGCCAAATTGATTTTTCATTCAGTGTGAGTCTACAGATGGATTC